TCGTACTCTGTGCTCTACTTTCCCTTTAATGCTGTGCGATGTATTTTGAGTCCCGGTGATAATGACACGGAGGACACGAGCAGGGGGAAGGTAAACACTATAATTATGTAAATATAAAGTTAGCACATCTCCCTGCTAATCATCTCTGAGCGGCCTCACCTGCACCCATATTTATTGCCCCCGGGGGAGTGGCTTTATCCTGGAGATATTGTTTGCTTGGAATATAAGGCCGGGGTATAAACATCATCGGCGAGGTGTCCCCGGAGGGTGTGACAACACAGACCTTGCTGAGCAATACGTGTCAAAACACCGCGACAGTTACACAGTGCAATGTGCGTAGATTGTCACTTTGTATCATGTCCGGGGATATTGTCCTTCTTCCTCCTCCTCCTATGTGCTGCAGAAAGAAATATTCCAAAAGCTGAAAATAAAACTTCAGGCTGGAACTCCGGCCTCCCCTGCAGTCTTATATCTGACCTCCGGCCTCCCCTCCAGTCTTATATCTGACCTCCGGCCTCCCCTCCAGTCTTATATCTGGCCTCCGGCCTCCCCTCCAGTCTCGCACAGTGGTACCAGCTCCTCTCCTGGACTGAAATTGCTTCCTCTGATTTCACTGCACACTGCGAGCAACAAGTCAGATAGGGTCCGCCTAATTTCTTGGCTGGAGGGTGTCCAGCATCATCTAGAACTTTCCTCCCCAGCCTGACTATCTCTGGTCCGCCCCTTTCATTCATTGGACTTCAGTTCTTTCAATCATGGAGGCTCAGCATCACATGTGGGCTTTACCTAGGGTGGCCTGCATGTAGGTAAAGCCTACCTAGGAAAACCCACTCTTCCAGCACAAAGAGAAAGAGCAGCAGTGAGCGGTCTTTATTACAGGAGGGGGCGGAGACAAGATCAGTCACCCTGCATAAGGAGAGAGAGCAGCAGTGAGCGGTCTTTATTACAGGAGGGGGCGGAGACAAGACCAGTCACCCTGCACAAGAAGAGAGAGCAGCAGTGACCGGTCTTTATTACAGGAAGCTCCAAGTCTCAAGCTGGATTCCTGCACAGATCTGGAAGAAATACACAAAGCTCACCAAGATCCAAGGAAGAAGTCACATGACCCTTGTATGAGGACAATATCTGATGATCCCGGAGTTCAGCTTTAAAGTTGGAATAAAACCAATATTATATTTTATATAAAAAACAACTCAACACCAGGAACGTCATCAGACATATTCATAAAAATTTTATTAAAAACAAGTATTTACCATGCCAGGACCTCGTCCTACCAAAAGCTGTGTGAATTTTTGTCCAAATTGACATTTTCGGTCTCATTCAATAATGTAAGGAGTACAATCTTGTTCATATGTTTTCTTGGCGTCTCACAGACCTGCTTTGTTCCGATTGGCTACAATGTGGCATATTGAAGACATTTGATTGATAGCAGAACTCTGATTGGTATTATTTGTATCTAAACCGGCCGCATAACATCTCAGCAGGATAAAGAAGAATCCTCCCTGTGGAAATAATGACAGGGTCCTCATTGGCCTGAAGGTGACAACATACATAACGATATGATCATTCCATCCATGCAACTACAATGATTGGATTGATTTGGAATCGTAAACCACAAACCTTCCATCTGATCGATTTAGGGCCGGTGCAGACCTGGGCGATCCGATGCTATGAACCAACAGGAGTTTTCCTTCCTAGACTTCATATGATGTCACTCACGATGATGTAATGGTAGGGGTGGGCACAGGCACGACTTGACTCCCACTGATTCCCAATGATGTCACAGACAATCAACTATGCTGGGTGTCCAGGGCCACTAGGCAAACTAGGCAGCTGCCTAAGGCACAGCCTTGACCACTCCCCCTTCCACAGCACCACCCCATCTTTTTTCAAATTGCAAAAGCCAATAGCAGGCTGGCTATTGCACTCGCCCACTTTCTCTGTCAGGTCCACTCCTCTGCTAAGCGGGTGTTTATTTTTTTAATAGCCAGTTTGCTATTGGCTATTTCAAATTGAAATAGCTAAAGGCAGTCTGGCTATAGCTCCCGGCTGCTTACATCCACCTGTCACCTGCAAAAGCTAGCCAGCAGGAGAATAGGAGTCCGTAGGGGGTGGGGGCAAATAGCTTGTCTTACCTAGGGTGCAAAATAGTCTAGCACCGGCCCTGTGGGTCTCAGGTTTAGGGGGGCAAGCTACCAAGTGTATTAGCAGCCTCAAGCTGGCCTATACACGGTTAGAATTGAGTTATAAAAATTACCCATTTCATAATGTTCCTTTGATTTCTCTAATAAACAAAGAAAAGTTGATGATCATTTCTAGCCTTAGTGACAAGAACAATCGTAGGCCCAGTTTAGATAGAAAATTTTTCTCGCCCCCTATCTTAATGAGTTAAATTCTGACAGTGAATGTTGTCCTCAATCAGGAAAAACATGGTACTTATTGTAACACGCGTGTGTTAGGAACATTTTTCATGAACTGGCCGATCCGAGGATCCCATAGAAGGTATTTTTTTTATATGGAAATGGTTATTGAATAAGGAATTATTGTATGCCGCCATTTAGATACAAATAATGCAAATTGGATTTTTTCAATCTTTTTAGCAGAGAACAATAAGAACAAATTATTTTCTAAGCCATCCGATCCTCGGTCTCCATACAGAGCCCACGACTATCACATTCTCCAAATTGTTTACTACATTGTGCATAAGAGTTTTATCAATTGTAACAAATCCTCGCACCAAAACCACCACAGTATAAGTCCACCCTAAAAATCAATAGCTCGGATTTGGATGGAAAGCAGCAGATTCAGTATTTCTATAACATTTGTGACCCTGGTTCGGCAATATACATCCTACAAAATTCTCAGCCCCGCCCCCTTAAGTGATCTTACACCAGTCACCGTTCCTGGATTCTCCATAGGAATACTTGAAGCCAAGCAGAGCAGCACGACCACATAGCTTAGCATGTATGACCCTAGTAAGAACATACTGGGGGTCGGAGTTGAGATCTTACAATATTTTCCTTTTGTACCTTTCTCATCCAACCTGCTCCCCCTTCACAAAAACTGAGAGATATGTTTGGGGTTGACTTTAAAGGATCATTCCATTGAAAATTGGTATTCCAATTTTTGGGGGATTGCTGATGGGCTGAATCACCTACTGACTTTTTTAAAATATCTTTTAGGGCCACCAGCAATAAAATCTCCCCAGGGCTCGGCCCTTCCGTTCCACAACCACAAATAAACACAGAGGACCCAGTCCGCCTTCTCTGTAATAAAACGCAAATAAAACTGTATTGGCCACAGTAGTAGGCGGAGCTGGGAACGCATGTATAGTAGGATTCCTGCTGACATTCCATAAAGAATAAGAAGCTAGTCAAGGAGCTCATATCCATCCATCAAAGCTGAGATATAAATGCTACCCTTTAAGTGTGAGGTCTCATGTCATTTTGATGATGTCAGGAACTAGCAGCCTGTTTCAGTGAAACACATACAAAAATCTAGATCAATGTGGAGACAGGAAGACCCGAGCTTCAGCCTTGCTTTTGATCACGAGATCTTACCACACAATTCAGTGTGTTGGTATATAATCAGTTCATCCACATTTCATGGCAGGTAATGGGGCTCCAAAGATCTATATATCTCCAACACATCTGGACAACCAAACGGTCATATTTATACAGACATTCAATTTCGAGCTGTGGAGCAGAGGTGCGCAGGCCATAGGTTGAGGCTCTTAAAAGTCTCTCCAAATTATTTTTTGGGTTCCCAGATTGTCAGATTTATTTATTCTACAATGTTTCACATTTTGTCTCTAAACAGTATACATGTTAAAACACTATGATCAGAAAAAGCCTTAATGCAATGACTACAGATACCTGGAGAGTATCTTCTGCAGTATACATGTTAGTGGCTGAACTTTGACCAAGTGCAATCCAAGTGAACACCCAAACGCTTCTTTTCTTGCTTCCAGGGGTTTAGATTTTTGTTCCTGGCTATTTTTTTTAAAGACAAGCTGTCATGGGAAGAATATGGATGGTTTTCTTTGCTAACCGTGAAATGCTAGCTACCAGGCTATTAACATTCCCCCCTCACCCCTTTTGCTGCACCTTAGCCATGGTCTCTTCCTATGTCAAGAGTCTGTTCTGCTTAGCACTGACTGTGTCTGCATGTCCCCAATGACATGAATAGGGGCCATACACTGAGGCTCCATTTAACTCAATGAAGATTGTCTACCTGCTGAGGATTTCAACCAAGTGGGATGTGGCTCTGTAAGCAAGGAACGTAAGCAGCTGGGGGAAAAGGGGCGAGGGGTGGTAGGGTGGCAGTGCAGTTTAACTTAGTAAGGCTTAAGGATAGTTTACATCTTTAATGTTTATTCTATAACCAGCTGTTCACAAGACAACCCAAGGTCAACCTCTACCAAGAGTCAATATTGTATTGTTATTTTAGTGTATCTTAAGCCAAAACTTTTTTTACATTTTGGGTAGAGTAGGGTATGTTTAAAACCTCATATATTGCCGTTTGTGTCCCTTTGGGAGGATTTTCCCATACTTCCTGTCATGGGGGTACAACAGGAAGTGAAAGGAAATCTCTCCAAAACATAACAGGTGTCCCCACTGGAAGCTTTACCTTCAATATCTGTTCCACTGGCAACAATAACATTTTTGAGATCTCAACACTTTCTGCCCCAGTGACAATGGTCAGCAAGGCGAAGAGTGACGATGAATTTCCACAGCTGGGGGTCACTAAAAAAAAAAGTTCAAACCCTTCCTCAGTTTATTTAAAACTAAAAAAAAAAGGTTTGAGTTGGGATACACTTTCATCTACCTGGATATTTCATTTCCTCCATTCCACAGTGACAATTGAGACCTCAACTTTCAAAGCACTGTGCAACCTCTGCTCAAGACAGCGGACGGCCTAATTGTTGAACCCCAAGAAGTTATCTAACAACAAAATTATAGGCAACAATCTACCATTTTAGTTCCAGTCCAAAGTAAAGGCAGAATAAAGACAACATCTTACAACAAAATCTCGCCTCTTCAGGCAGGTTGTCACCACCGTTGTTGTTGGAAGCCTACAGATATTGTGTGTTGTGTGGAGCGAGTGTGCCATTGTTCCCCCTCAACGTATAAGTGATTGGCAGGTTCGTAAAAGTCACCATTATTGGTTAGAAGAAGCGAGACATTTCCACCGAACAGAGAAGGCCAAGGACACCGGGTTGCAATGCACGGCAGTCGCTTGTGGATTACGGCAATTTCAGAGCGTCTCCTGCAACACAAGGTCCTCGAACATAAGGTAGCACTTCAGTGATTGTGGCAAGCTGAAAGTCCTCACGGCTTTGAGCCTCTGGGGCCCCAGGCTGGAGCGTATCTGCAGGCGGCTTAGGTGTTTAAGGGAGCGCGGCTGATGAGAGCAGGACTCAATCCAGGCAATGAAGCCTACTTGGGAGGCAAGGCGCTTGGGCGGCAGTCCAGTTTTCTAGAATACACAAAATGATGGTTACCTAGTGCAGTAATCCTCCACCACCGGTCCCCGGACTGTCCTCAGGTCTTTTGGCAGACAACTAGTCAGCCAAACATCAAATTTATACATTACAGATATTATATACATTTGCAAACCCTTCTATTTTATCAAAAGAACTATAATAAAGGATCTCTGCCCATTTTTATTTGGATGAAAAGCAAGGCATTCCATTTACTCCGCTGCTTCCCTGACTGAATTAGATTTGGGTTTTATTGACTGTGAAGGGGAATTGTCTGACTTGCAGCCAGGCTTGATCAGAGCAAGTGGTGGAGAATGCAGGAGTCAGTCTACCCAAAAGTGTTTTATAGCTATGGGTGGACCCTGGTGGGCTACGTCAGCTCCTGGGTTTTCATGTCTTAGATGCACCAAAAGGAAGATCTTTCTCCCACAATTCAGTCCCTAAGGATTTCAGCCGAAGAAGGTGCCAATAGGAATTCTTAGGCCTTCATCAGGGCTTTAAAAATCAACTAAATAGCAGCTAAACCCAGAGCAAAGCTCCTGAAAATTCAATCCAACACAGGAGGATCTTTATGAAAAGTTCCTGATACAGTGGCAGACCAACACACTGTGATTTTTAAAGCCCTGATGATAGGGGATTACTGAGCTCCCTAAAACGCATTGGCTGCCTTGTCTATTCTCCTGTTATCTTTTGCGGAACCAATAAAATTGCATTTTGGAATTACTGTTTGGCACACTCTTTGGTTGCAATACATATAGACTGTTCAAACTGGGTGACTTCTGTCTTTTGGGAGGGGCCCCTGTTTTGTGGGCCCAACACAAGCCATTTGGATTTATAAGAACTTCTCCAATGTTATACCCGGGATCTGTATCCAGCTCCCCATTTTGATCTTGTTACAATTCTGTTCCTGTCCACATGCTTGGTTTTGATGCCCCTGCCCACCTCTGTGCCTTCTGGCTGCTCCTGTCACATTTTCCATGATATAAAATAATTATAAAATCCAACAGGCATGGTGGGAACTGGGAACCTCTCATAATGGGCACACCAGTTGTGTGGACCTGGGAACTCAGAGCAGGAAGACTAGGAACCCCTCATAATGAGCACCCAGGTACTCTGTACAGAGATCTGCCCATTAGATTCTCTGAGCTATGGAGGAGACTGTCAGGTGGTTAAACCTCCAGCATCCACCAACAATTGAAACATATTTTGTGTGTGGCCTGCTCTTTAACAGCATGGAGTTAGCTATGAATGCCTTTCCAGGTACATACCTTGTTCTTGTATGTGATGTCAGCACCCGCTTGAACGAGGAGTCGGATGCATTCTAACTGTCCACTACACGCAGCCAGATACATTGGGGTTACCCCCCAGTTATCCTGCAAGTTGACATCAGCACCGTGCTGCATGACACAGAAACAAATTGGAACAAGTGGATATACATGATAAACATCACATGTAACCCTCCCTGAGGCTTGTCAGAGATCTATATACAACCTCGATACCTGTCCAAACCATGAGAAATACTGAGCTTAGGAATAAGGTAAGATGCCGTGAAGGAAGGAAGGAGATGTAGGCACCTTTCTTGCTTCTTTCATTGATAAAGGCTTCAGTGTGCTTTCAGTGTGCAGTATGTGCCTTGTAACAACAGTAGTGCTGGGAGGTTAGGTTTGGAGGTGAGTTAGGCCTATCAAACTCAACAGTTATTCAGCACCTAAAGCCCAGTTGAAGTAGCACACCTTTGTACAGTCCTAGACTGCTGTATGTTATGAGTTTTTACCAATTGGAAATGTCTTAAAATACCTATTGATAGAAATGTACATTTTGCTCTCCATCTCCATAGCTCTGTGCTGGCATAGGTGAGTGATGTCCACACCCCTCATCCTAGGATCCTCACACAGACTTGTAGCATGGAGGAAGAGAGGGGGCGTGTCTTATCAGGTCTAATAGATTACTGAATATGCTGGACCGTGCGATCAAAGTCTGCAAAGTTATATTTACACAACCTGCCCATAATAGGAAAGTGAAGGTAAACTATGAAAATGGAGGTTGTTAATAAAAATGTCTGTTAATATATCTATATCTTTAACTTATAGTTGTAAGTTCAGCTGATCTTTAAGAACATTGGTATAAGTGTGAATCAAAAACATTACAAGTGTCTGGGGGGCCTTGGCATAGGAGTTACAACTTAACACTTAAAGGAGTGAAAAGCACTCGCCTCATAGTTCTAGCCGACCTGTGACAATGAGACTGTCACAGGTCGGCTCAGTAGATCGGGAGGTGAGCGAACACATACCGGCGTTCGCTCACTTCTCGATCCTGTCACAGCTCTCTGCCGTGACAGGGGAGGGGCTGGATTCCCCCCTCCCCGCTCCGATCCGCCAGCGCTGACTGGCGGAACGGACGGGAGAGGGTACAGCTGGCTCTGCCTCTAGATAGGCAGAGCCAGCTGTCAGTCACGCAGCTGGGCGGATCCCGGCAAAATTGTCAGTCAAGCAGCTCGCGGTATACTGCGGCGTCTCAGTATACTGCGAGCTACAGCTTGCGGTATACTGAGCCTAGGGTGACGGGAGGACGCTAGTTTGTGTCCTCCCGTTACCCTAAGGAGTACTATGGGGAAAAGCCTTAACCCCATAATTCTCCTTTAACATACATTATATACAAAACAAATGTCTGAAGGTTTTCATGTATCCCAGTCATGGTATAGCTGGTAGGAATTCATAAATTTAACATAACTTGCTTTTCCAGAACACTAATCTGTGGTAAAATCAAAGCGCCTGCCGTTCCTGCTCTCCAACAACATATTGTTTGCTGCTTAATAACAGGTACAGTTTAAAAGACCAGGAAGGAAAATACTTAATATGTTTAAAATATGTAAAATAATACAATTACTAAAATCATTTTTGAGTAACACATTCATTAAATAATTCAGATCAAAAGACCACATTGAAGGCAAGAGGGAAAAAAAGTGAATCATAAAAGCTTCCTTACTCATTCCTTCCTTACTTTAGAGCAGACTTTACTTGTTCACCAGTACCAGTTAGAACACCAGTTCACTTACATCAATGGTTCCCACTGAGTCTTAATATCAGCAAGTGCTGTGCATAACTTAAAGTGTGGGTGACAGGTACACTTTATAAAAACTAGGCAGTCCTCATCCTGCACAAGAAGACCACTGACCACAGTCTACTCACCTGTATTAGTAGGAGAGCACAGTCCGGGAACAATCCAATGGCCGCATGAAGCGGGGTCCCGCCATGTTTACAGCAGCTGTTCACATTGGCCCCATGTTGTAAGAGTAACTCCATGGACGCCCTCTGACCTTTATACGCTGCCCAGTACAAAGGTGTCTTTCCATAGTAATCTTTCCGATCCACAAGCTCTTTGTCTGAAATACATGGAGAGTAAAAAATGATTGCCTATAGGAAGAGGGAATAGGAATGTGGGAGAGGGGACAGAAAGGTGATGATGGTTTTAAGAGGGAGGAAGGAGGAAATTTGGATGATAACTTCATAAAATTTAAAAAATGCTCTAATTCTATTTATATCCATTGGTAACATGGGCCATGGCCTAGGGTGTTAGTGCTGCCTGGGGTGACATTCGGCCTCTTTACATCATGTTGCCTAATGAGTGCCACGTTCCTATGTATAATTAAAAGTTGCAGGCTACATGTCCACAAGGTGTCCCTCATTTGGAGGCACTGTCCCTGTTTTGGAACTTTCTGTCCCTCATTCCTCCTCCAATGTCCCTCGTTTAGCTCTGGTTCATTTATGACAGGTATTGATATAGTGCAAACAATTTACACAGCACTTTACATAGTGCCTATTCATACCAGATCCTGCCCTCAAGGAGCTTACAATCTAAGGTCTCCAACTCACATACATACGGGGCCAATTTAGACAGGAACCAATGAACCTACCAGCATGTTTTTGGTTTAGAGACCTATATAAATAAATGTACCATTTCTAAGACTTTCACTTCCCCTCAAATATCTCTGAATGTTCATTTTGTGTCAATAATGGCAAAAAAGAATGTTCTTAACAAATTTTCTTTTCAGGCTGAATATACTGTGATGTAATACCGTGTTATGGCCATTGGATGGTGCTGAGGAGCACAGGAAATTAATAGGTATTTCCCATGCTCCTCAGCTCCATCTAGTGGCCATGCTCCATCATTAACCTGAAAAGAAAACTGCTAGGATTACACAATGGATTAGGAGCATACCCGACGTGGTGAGCAGTGCGCGCAGCTTCTCCACGTTGCCTCTACTGGCCTCATAATGGATATCGGTCCATTTATAGTTGTAACTTGGTGCTACCTGGTAGTGCCGCACCTGGGTCTTGGTGCACGGGCTTCGGGACAAGGAGCTGATATAAAACCCCATCTGTCTCATCAGGAGTTGGCTTCATATAGCAATATCTGTAGATAAGAAAAAAACAAAAATACATTTTTAAGAGATAAATGTACTTTTACCAAAATCTTTTAACCCAATCACTTATACCTCCTATAACCGTTGATGGAGGAGGAACCTGTCCAATTTTTTTTGTTCAGCCCGCAGGTTGTGTATGGCCAGCTTTATTCTAAAAAGATGCTTTCAGATTGTGGGAAGAAACGGGCACACTTGGAGGAAACTCTAGAAAGCAGGGGGAGGCAATTCTGGCCGAGCCATAGCTAGCTCCTTTAAGGTCTAAGGTCCTCTAGGATTGGCATGCGCAGAACGAGCCGGTGGCCGAATCCGAAATAGCATAAAAATTTGTTTTGTTTGACTAAACTAATGAAAACGTTTTTAGTTTTCGTTTATTTCGTCCAAAACTAATTTTTAGTCTTTGCACATGCCGAATAATGTGTGTGTGTATGCGTGTGTGTGGGGGGAGGTGCTGTGCTTTTTAAAATTATTTTGTATTTATTTTTCATACTT